GGACGGGTATTTCACCACGGAGGCTGCGCTCCGTCCACTGTAGTGTAAAGCGAGACAATTATTAACAATATTAAAGCTCCGATGTGTGGTTACGTGTGTTAAAATGACGTTATTTATTTATTTATATGAGCGTCGGCATTCAGAGAGCTTCTCATTCCGGTGTGAGAGCAGCAGCGGGACCCGGTACCACCACCAGCAACAGAAGCTGGAGTAAAGTAAAACGTGAAAGTGAAGTAAAGTGAAACGCTGTTTATAACAATGTTATAAATCCAGAGGGGTGTGTTTAGGCAAAGTCAGCGACATGTTTATGTCGGTGAACAGCTGCAGAGAGAACGTAAGCTAACGCTGGTAAGCTAGTTAGCATACCGCTCTCTATGAGCCCCGCTAGATGCGCTACTTCTTCTGATAACTGAACTGGGCATGAAGTAGTTGAAGGAATGCTGGAGGAGTTTTGTTTTTGTTTTGATCGTAAAAACAATTTCTGCCTCTACTTTTCCCTTTGTTGAACTGACCTGTATTGGAATGTTTATTATGTGAAGAGCCTTGAGACGACGCTTGTCGTGATTTGGCGCTTTATAAATAAACTTGAAAAGTGAAAAAGATCGCTGGGCGGATTGGTGCTGCGTCGGCAGTGATGCAGCGTTTTACCGAACTGTCATGGTGAAGAGAGAGCTGAGCCGGAGGGCGAAGATCTTGATTTTCCAGTCGATCTACGTTGCTACCCTCACCTATGGTCACGAGCTTTGGGTAGAACGAGATTGCAAGTGGCCAAAATAAGTTTTCGCCACAGGGTGGCTGGGCTCTTCCTTAGAGACGGGGTGAAAGTCCCAGAGGGGCTCGATGTAGACCCGCTACTCCTCCGCATCAAGGGGAACCAGTGGAGGGGGCTCGGGCATCTGATAGGGATGCCTGCCTGGTGAGGTTTTCTGGAAGGTCCAACTGGAAGGAGACCTAAAGGGAGAGCCAGGACACGCCGGAGGGTCTTTGTTTCATGACTGGCCAGGGAACACCTTAGGATTCACCTGGAGGAGCTGGCCAAGTGGCTGGGGAGAGGGAAGTCTGGGCCTCCTCGCTTCAGCTGCTGACCCCACAAGGAGAATGGATGGATTGGTTTTTAAATATTATCGTTTCGTCATTCTCAGGCACTGGAGGAAGTCATCTTGAATTTCTTTTGTCATATATGTTCATCCAGCGCTAATTTTCTGAGTGTGGTTCAGATCCAGTTCCTGGGATTTCTTTTGCCGACACAGAACCAGAACTGGGCAAACACATGACCACACTTTTGACTTCTGGTGATAAAATAAGTTCAGGTTTTAACATTATTTCTTGAAAACTCCTCATCTTAACCTCAGTAAGGTCGTGGGGAGCTCCAGCAGTCATTAGGAGAGAGGCGGAGCTACACCTGGACAGGTTTCCAGTAATCACAGAATTATAATACTGATGTTGGAGGCGAGGAACTAAGGTTTCAGTGTGTTTTCATGGTGAACGCAATAAGAAGTGGTTGTGTGGTGGAGCTGTGGGGGAGTGCCCACTCTGGGGGAGGGTGGTTATTAAATGTGGAGGTGAAAATGTGGGGGGGTAGCTGAAGATGGATAGGCTCCATTAACATGTGCTGAGGAGCTGAAGGGAGGCCAGGTGAAGCAAACAGTCGTGACCCGAAAGATTGCGTATCCATGTGACGCGGAGCCGCTCCGCCGTTAATCGGACCTCGACTTTAATTGTAAGTTCTTCCGTCTCTCATCTCCTGCTTCATCTCCGGGGAATCGTTTGCTGTGCTGGAAGGTTATCAGCTGGGGACGAGCGTCCAACTGAAGCAGGAGAGCTCAAGCTTAACAAAGCGGAGGAAAAATAAACCCTCCTGTCAACACTTGGACAATCTGTTGGTCTGGAAATGAACCTGATGCCAGCAGCAGACGGCAGGTCTGATATCAGGCGCTGACAGGATATTGTCAGAGGATAAAAACAAACAAAAGCCACAGCTCAGCCACCAGTGCAATATAATAAAAACACATTTTCCCCGAGGTTTTCTTCAGGTATTTCACTTTAGAAAGGACTGGTGTTTGTAAAGCAACCCAAGGAAGAAAGAATGGAGAACGCTGCAGAGAAACGGATGTGTTGACTCGTTCCAGCTGGCATCAGCTGGTGATAAGTGATGATTATTAATGAGGCGTCATTTGTGGGGTCAGCTTAAGCCCAACTTAAGTACCCACTCAGCATCTTGTTGGGCGCTGACTGGTCTGAACAGCGTTCATGAGCTAAATGCACACGTGTAGCTAACGGCTAGCAATGTTTACACGTTTATTTGCACAAGGTGCAGGAAGTAGATTAGTGGAATGAGTTCTTTGGGCTGTGGGGTAATTAAGGAGCTCAGCGTCCACTAGAGGCTGGCTCCAGAAGACCAAGTTCCCGTTGACTCTCATGGAGGAATAATTAGGGGCGTGTCCATTTGACTGACAGGTGTCAGATTAGCCGGCAGCACTAGCGTCAGACCCCCCACCCCCGCTTGCTCCAGGGAAGGCCACAGCCTTGGCCTCGTGTTAAGAGGTTCACCGCCAACCTCCCTTAGCTTCGGTTAGCTCAGTTAGCTCGTAGCCACATCGTCTCAAATATTGTTGGGTGTCAGTCATCTGGCCCCACCCTCTCAGCTCCGCTCTCAGCTCCATTTCTGTATTTGTTGAGAGTGAGGACACGGCTAAAATGGCGGAGGTGCAAACCACCCACTGAGCTCAAGTCCAGCTCTTCAGAAACCTTGGGGTGAGGGCGCAGAGGGTTTGACCACCTTGTATTTACAGCCATTCAGATGAACGTGCCGGGGCCCGTAAGACACCAGCTCTCCAGGCCTTTCCTCACAGAAATTCATCCAGGTTTATTTGTGGTTCCACCAAAGAATTAAAATGCAAATCCTTTTTTTTAATCCATTTGATTTCCCAGATCTTTCAGACACGTTTCCTATTCAGACCCAGTCGTGGTTGCTGCTTTTTACAACATCATAACTACAGTACTCTTTTGACATGACCTGCTTTAAGATAAGTTTATTTTTCATGCATTTTTCATACACAGACGTATAATCAGAAGCAGCGCTGAAACTTTGCATGCAACTCTAAAATAACCCGGCTGATGTACAATGAAGTTCTCCCCATTAAATTGCAGTCATTTCCTCCTCTTGCACCTATTTCTCCATCCTAATGAGATACCTGTGCAGCAGCACAACAGAGCAGACAGACGCCGGGCTTTGAACACAGTCACAGCAGTCAAGTGTAGGTGGAAACTAGAACGTAAGGAACGCTGCAGAGTTGACATGATACAGTTTGTATTGTTCAGAAAATTACAGCAGGAGATGTCTGCAGGCTCTCGGCTCTCAGCCGACGCTCAAAGCAACAACGCTTTATTGATTATTAAAATCACAACACAGTTGTTGCTAGCACATGAAAATGAGTTTGTTATATCAAAATGTCAGAATTAAAATCTTTCTGTAACAAATATAAATAAAAACAACTCAGTCTTGAGCTGTCATGTGAAACATGGTGTCACTTAATCCATTTTATGATAAAAATTTTAAAATTATTTGCTTCTAAGTTGATTGTAAAAGACTAAACTGCTACTTTTACCGGCACCTGGAAAAAGAATAAAGAGGAACTTGCAGTGGTCCCTAGCAGGAATGAATGCATTGAAAGCCACACTGTAGGGGAAAAAAAGCTCTGGTGCGCCTGTTTCACTTCATGGTTTTTGGACAGCTCACTTCTGATTGGCCACCAGCAGCACGACTCTACCGCTGACTCTGTTTGCTTTGCTCTTGATGTTTCATCTCCACAAATAACACAAGCCTGAAGGAGTTCTGCTGTGTGGTGGAAATGCTAATGCTAACGGTTAGCTTCCACTGGCCGAGATGTCCTCTGCTGATTCCTAGATGCTAAACTAACAACAGCCGTCCCTGTCGCGATTCAAGATGGGCGAGTTCATGAATGTTCACTGACTGTCGGTCTTTTCAAGTCCTAGAGTTTTACTGCCTATCTTTGACCAAAGCTAATGCAGGAGATACGTGTAGGAGACTCATGTCATGTTCAGCCTGCATGAAAAACTGAGACCAATTATTTTCAAAACTAATAAGTAAAAAATGGTTTCCCAGTGAAGGACCTCTTTAAAGTTACGTTATTTATCAGGATTTAATAGGAGATCTTTAAAAAATGTTAATGTGAAAATAATTTACAGGAAAGCGTCTCTGGAAAGTAATTTTTCATGTAACTCGTTTGAATATTAGCTTAAAATACTAAAACATCAGTCTTAGAGGTTTAGACAACAATTAGTTTCATATTTAGGATTAATCAAACGCCGGGTGGTGTAAAATGAGCCGCTCTCAGTTAGGCATGCAGGATGAAAGAACAGGAAAAGGTAAGAAGCTGGAGCTGGAGGTCAGGAAGGTCGCTCAGAAGATCCTTTTCTTTCATTTTCAAATACCTGCAGCTGCAGCTCAGTCTGCTGCGGAGATGGCTTCGAGCACGGCCATCAACTTCAGCGAGCTATTCATGAGCTGTGAATGGGAGGAAGAGTAGCACTTAACAATGATAGGCGAGCTTCCCCCACACACACTCGGAGCACTTTAACCCCTCCCACGAGCGAGTGCGTGCGGTCGCATTAGACACACTGGCAGCCATCATTACTCTTAGGTCTCCGCCAAAACCCCCGTGCACAAAGTTCTGAGATAATTTTATCGGAGACTTTTGAAATTAAAGAACGGGAGCCATCATGAAGTCATCTAGGGAGCGAAGGAAGGCAGAGGCGTCTTCACACCTGTCTGAAGATGAATCCGGGGGTGGCCCGAGGGCATTATCTCACCACATCGGTGGGTTTGGAGTATTGGGCAGGAGGGGGGTAAGGAAGATAATTGTATAAGCTGAGACAGACAGACAGACAGACAGACAGACAGACAGACAGACAGACAGACAGACAGACAGGAAGCAGTGTGAGGCAGACGGACCAAGGCGAGAATGAAAATCACTCACTCGAAGAAGAGCCTTCTTAATTACTCTCCCCACATCCTGCCTCCACTCGGGAATGTCGGGGTTGAACTCGTCCAGATTCGGGGAGAAAGATAAAAGTAGAGATTTGAAGAATTCTGTGGAGGCGAATCGGAGGGAGAATCATCCATTAATCCAGACCTAGTGGAGGTCATTATTCTCAGCGCGATGTGCCAGCTGTCATTTTACTCAGGCTGAGTGTTCAGGTAGTTAACGCTTGATAAAAAGAAGAGGCTTCCCCTTGGATAAATGTTCCAGATGCACTTCTGGATGACTAGAACCTGTCACGTCTGCTCCCATCTATCCTCCGCTAATAAATCAGAGCATTTTACAGATTTCTGCTGCTGGATCCTTTCACAATAAATTAAGATTTTTATTTCAGTTTCTAACTGTAATGTGACAAATTCCTCTCAGTCATTTTTTATAGGAGAGTAAAAAAAGTGAGGAAGAAACTTCTAGGAGCAGAGTGAAGAAGCGCTGACCCTTCACCACCAGGCTCCTGGTATCCTGCAGGATGCTGCTGCCGGCGGACACTTGGACGGTGATGGTGTGAACGCCCTCGCTCGTGAAGGTGTGTGAAATGCTCCCATCCAGCGTTATCACCGGCTGCAGGCACAAAGATAAAACGTCACGTCAAGCTCCTGGTAGAAGAGCCCTAACCCTAACCGGTCACCGGCCATCACCATTTACAGGACATCAGCTTTAAGGTGCACTCTGAGAGGTGAAACTATAACATTCAGATCCAGTCACCGTGAACGTCCCATTCGTGATGACTGGATCCTGATCCATCCTCTACCCCCCCCCCCCCACACACACACACACACACGTGCGTACAAACCTTTATTGACCCTTTGCACTGACGTCACCTAATCACGTGGGTTCACCATGCTGGACGGCTAAATCATGTAAACAGTGAGCGGCACGAGTACTAAACAAAGGGGAAAGTGGAGCCTGAAATTATTTTTGCGATCAAAACTAAAACTAAACTCCTCCAGCATTCCTTCAACTAGTTCTTCAACTAGCTAAAAACATGCTAGCTGCAAATCTGAGGCCTGCTCCGCTTGATGCGGCAGTTCATCTGCGTCCTCAGTCTCCATCAAAGTTATTAAAAAAACAAAACGAGTTGAGTTTACGTCCTCGTCTGTTAGTGCAGCCGACCACGCAGCAAGCTCAAATAAACGCGATAAAAGGCTACAAACTGGCTTGTTTTGACTACCTTCACTTAAGTTTCAACGGGTGTAAACGGTCTTTTTGCCGTCCATCATGGCGAAGGCGGCGGTCACATGAGTGGCGTGACATCACGTGCAAAGGGTCAATAGGGAGCCTAAGTCTCCTCCCTTTCTGGTCGGCTCATAGCTTGCCAAAAATTAAGATGTTGTTGACTCATTTAGTTTCAAAAAGCTGATCCATTGCTTAACATCATCATAACTCCGGTCACGTCACTTATGGGCTATACCCAATAATGCTCGACTCGTCAACAAGACTTTCCAATACGAATGGACTTCTATTAGAACCAACTTCGGTGTGGTTTCACGTCTTCCAAGTGAGCAGGACTGAAAACGCCATGCCAGAGTACTGTTGGTCACTGATTGGCTAGGGGGTGGAGTCACGCACACTCTCCTGTACTTAGTTTTGGTTCTCTGCTTTCATCCCTGGTTCAAAACCTTTGGATTAACAGTTGTTTCCAGGTCGATTTGTGGACGTTGATTTTTAAGGATATTTAAATGTAGGCTGAGGTGTTGGACGGGTAAAACTAGTCGAAACAAGAAAACTGTAAACATCTGACAGAAGAAGCTGTGGTGATTTGGTAGAAAGAAGGTAACTAAAGAATCCTTCATTTCAGGCCAATCTCTGGCTTTCTGCGGTTCCCTAAACCAGTTTACCTCTGTGTTGTTGCCAAGCCACCAGAAGTAGGTGACGGTGCGTGATTGGCTGGGAAGGACCACCGCGCTGATGTTCACCTCCTTGTTTCTAATGATCACAAAGGGAGCGAGAAGCTGGACGTGCTCCACCGGACCTGCAGAAAGAACCACAGATACCGCTGACCTCTGAGTTTACTTCTCATGCACACACGGAAACATCACGCGCACGTGGAGCTGAGAGGCTGAACACTTCAGATCTCTTCACTTTGATTTGACAGCTTAGGAGTGGTTGCGCCGTAGGATGGCAGCACCGACGAGAGCTCCCAGTCATCTCAGCAAAAATCTTATTATTTATTTTGTTCTGCTCTCTATTACTGTGCGCACAGCGCGATCATACACGCGGTATGACAGACAAGCGCTTCTGGAGCTACGTTCATCAGCCAGTTCGGACTTTACAGCAGGTTTTGACTCCGTGGACGCTGTGCTGCCTGGGATCCTTTGTTTACTCGCACGACGTCGAGGGAAAACAAAGAGGGGAAAACGTGCTGGAGTTTTGTGCCGAACGCGACAGAGAAACAGCAAGCCACCTCTCCCCAGCATCCTGCTCGCGAATCTCCAGTCTCTGGACAATAAACTTGACGAGCTGCGTGCACGGATTAAACACCAGCAAGACATCATGAACTGCTGCGTTCTGGCCTTCACGGAGACATGGCTGGAGCCCAGCGTCCCCGACTGCGCCATCACGCCGGATGGATTCACTGTTTACCGGGGAGACCGAACGAAGGACTCAGGCAAGAAGAGGGGAGGAGGGGTGTGCTTTATGGTTAACTCCTTGTGGGCCAGAGATGTGTGTATCTTAAAAACTTACTGCTCTCATATTCTCGAGCTCCTGACCGTTAAAGTCAGGCCTTTTTACCTCCCGAGGGAGTTCAGCTCAGTTCTCCTCTCAGCTGTTTACATTCCACCACACGCTGATAAAGCCACGGCTATGGACGAACTGTATGACATCATCACTGGACTTGAGAACAAAAATCCAGAAGCTGCCTTTATTGTGCTGGGAGACTTCAACAGAGCCAACATGAAGAAGGTTCTCCCCAAATACTATCAGCACATCTCCTTCCCCACAAGAGGTGATCAAACATTGGACCATTGTTACACTCCATTCAAAGAGTGTTACAAACCCCTCCCCCGCCCAGCTTTTGGTAAGGCAGACCACTGTTCCATTCTGCTGCTGCCTGCATACAGACAAAGACTAAAACGGGAAAAACCAGCTTCCAGAGTTATTTACAAATGGGACAGTGAGGCTGAGGAGGTCCTGCAGGACTGCTTTGAGACAACTGACTGGCAGATATTTGTGGATGCAGCTGATGGCAACATCAATGAACTCACAGACTCTGTCATTGGATATATTGGGAAGTGCATGGATGATATCATCACAAAAACCACTGTCCGCATATACCCAAATCAGAAACCCTGGGTAAATAAAGACGTTCGCGCCAAGCTAAAAGCGCAAACCTCTGCCTTTAACTCTGGAGATGCTGACGCATATAAAGCAGCCAGGTATGACCTCCGAAAGTCCATAAAAAAGGCCAGAAAGGACTACAGGGACAAAATGGAGTCCGGCTACCACAGCTTTGACACCAGGCGACTGTGGAATGGACTGCGCTGCATCACTGACTACAAGAAGGTCAGCACAGTCAGTGTTCAGCCCACTGCATCTCTCGCAGACGAGCTGAACAACTTCTATGCTCGTTTTGATGCAGACAACAGAGAGGAGATCCTCTACCCTCAAGAGGACAGTGAGGCTGCAACTCTAACTCTGGAAACAGAAGCTGTGAGATGGGCCTTTAAAAAGGTCAATCCTCACAAAGCTCCAGGACCAGACGGCATCCCAGGCCGGCTACTCAGAGTGTGTGCAGACGAGCTGGCAGAGGTGTTTACCAACATCTTCAACCTCTCCCTGAGGCAGTCAGTGGTCCCGACGTCCCTCAAAGCATCCACCATCATTCCCGTTCCCAAAAAATCAGTGGTCTCCTGTCTGAATGACTACCGTCCTGTTGCACTGACATCCGTCATCATGAAGTGCCTGGAGCGGCTGATCAAATGTCACATCTGCTCCTCCCTCCCTGACACACTGGATCCTCTTCAGTTTGCCTATCGGACAAACAGAGCCACAGAGGATGCCATCGCCCTGGCAACACACACCGCCCTCACTCACCTGGAGAAAGGGAATACATATGCAAGAATGCTCTTCATCGACTACAGCTCGGCATTTAACACCATCATCCCCTCAAGACTTGCCACGAAGCTCGTCGACCTTGGGCTGGGAACACCGATCTGCAGTTGGATTCTAAACTTCCTCACAGACAGGCCCCAGGTGGTGAGAGTTGGTAAGCACACTTCCTCATCACTCATCCTAAACACAGGTACGCCCCAGGGTTGTGTGCTTAGCCCCCTCCTATATTCCCTGTTCACACACGACTGTGTTGCTAAACATGAGACCAACATCACCATCAAGTTTGCGGATGACACAACCATCATAGGCCTCATCACAGGGGATGATGAGACGGCCTATAGAGAGGAGGTGATGGCACTGTACGAGCGGTGCCTGGAAAATAACCTGACTCTCAACATCAGCAAAACCAGAGAAATGATAGTGGACTACCGGAAACGACCAGTCAGGGAACACCAACCCATCCGCATCAACGGGGTCGAGGTCGAAAGGGTCAGCAGCTTCAAGTTCCTTGGAGTCAACATCACTGAGGACTTCTCCTGGACCCTTCACACAGACACTACTATCAGGAAAGCTCGCCAGCGGCTTTACTTCCTGAGGAGGCTGAGGAAGTTTGGCGTGAGCGCCTGCTTCATCTCAAATTTCTACAGGTGTGCAATTGAGAGCTTGCTGACGAGCTGCATCACAGTGTGGTACGGAAGCTGCTCTGCCAGCAGCCGTAAATCACTACAGAGGGTGGTGAAAGCAGCAGAGCACATCACTGGCATGAGGCTTCCTGCCATTCAGGACATTTATCTCCAACGATGCCTCCGGAAAGCACACAGCATCATCAAGGACCACAGCCACCCGGCACATAAGCTGTTCTCCCTGTTACCATCTGGCAGACGTTACAGGAGTCTGTCTGCTCGGACTACAAGACTTAAAAACAGTTTCTATCATCAAGCCATACGACACCTCAACCACAACACCTAAACACACACAACACAGGACTCAGAAGCTACCCTGCAGCTTCACAAGTACTATATTTAATCCGTACTGGTCACTTCACTTTATTGTTATTGTAATTTATATCCAAAGTGCAACACTGTAATCTATATCCTGCATAATTTATATCCTGCAATACTGTAATTTATATCTAAAGTGCAATACTGTAATTTATATCTAAAGTGCAATACTGTAATTTATATCTAAAGTGCAATACTGTAATTTATATCCAAAGTGCAACACTGTAATCTATATCCTGCATAATTTATATCCTGCAATACTGTAATTTATATCTAAAGTGCAATACTGTAATTTTCTGCAGCTCATTCCTGTGCAATATCCCATCTGCCCGCCCGTCATATTTCTTTTCAGGATTTTCTTTATTGACACATATATATTTAGTCATCTTTTCCCTTTTACCATGTCTCTCTAATATTTTGCTCCTTACTATATTTTTTTGCTTTATTTTATTATATTTTTATTATATTTTATTATATTTTCTCCTGTATCATGTTGCTGAGAGACCGCTGCTCGTCATACACGTTTCATTGCAATGTTGACCCTGTGCTAACTTGCATATGACAAATAAACTAAAAACTGAACTGAACAGTCGTAGTCGGTTTTCCTTCTGCACCTGAGGTGGAACAGTAAATAATCCAGAGGTGTGAATTCAGCTGTGACTCTCCCGTGCGTGTACGCTCTGCTGTAAACCTTCACACTGTCCAGGTTATTTCTCTTCATCTTGTCAAGTGCATTCTGGGACACGATCCACACCGTAAGATGAGGATGAATAAGTAAGAAAAATGGGGGAGATGGAAACATTTTGGGAACAAATATCAAATCAGCTTCCAGAAAAGATGAACTCAGAGACAGGAGGGTTTAAGGTGCGTTAACCTGCCGTGATGAATGGCAATTCTGCTCCGTTTCCAAACATTTATATTTATTCTACCTGTTTTCTGTGGAGCTTAAAAGGACAGGAAGGAATTAGATTACCTTGTTTGAAACAGAAAATGGCAAACGAACCCAGAAAAATGTAATGATGAGACAGTTTGTTCAGTTTAGTGAATTTTCATGCAGAAACACTTAAATCTTTTTAATTAGACTGGTGGAGCATAATGCTGGCAGATGAAGTAAGTTTATCTTATGAATAAAAGACGTAGGACAGTGTAACGTCACAAAATGGCCTACTTTTCAGATTCCTCGTGCCAAATGCACAGGGAGGTCAACTTACCCTGGCTTTGCCACGTTCTACTGTATCTCTCCCTGACAGGAGTCTGAGAGTCTGCACAAAGGCTCTTTAATCAGATGACTTCATCAGCTGAGCGCAGCTTCATCAGATAATAAAGATGAACAGTAGCGTTCCTTTCCCCAAGGCCCTTCACAAGAGAACTGTTTTAGATAAATCTTTATTCCCAGAGAAAAGAAGATTTCATAATTAATCAGTTTATAATTCTAAATAATCATTGACGAAAGAAGATTTTATGATTAAAAATCATTACATATTGCCATGTATGATTAAGCAATGAAATGTTCATGAATCTGTATTCAATGTTGAAGTTCCTACTCTGTTTATCCGCGGGCAGCAGAGGACGTTGTTATGCAGATGATGTTCTACTCTTTCTCCAGAATTCTCAGTCCTCTCTCTCCCAAGCAATAGAACTGATAAACTCTTTCTCAAGAGTTTCAGATTACTCTGTAAACTGGTTAAAATCCACAGTTCTACCAATTAATCTCTCTTTCGTCAATTTGCTTAATACACAATTGGACTCAGGGAATATCACATACCTGGGAATTAATGTCTCTCCCAAGTTGGCAGATCCAACCAAACTAAAGTACACCCAATGACAACCAGCTCCTAACAGCAACCAGCAGGTCTAAACATAGCCAGGAGGTAATGCGGCTACATGTTGTATTAATCCAGCTAGTTTAAATCACGTA